TGACAATTTCAGTTACCATTACTGTGAGAGTCAGTAATCAAGCTCATCAGCTAAAAGCCAAGAACTTTAGGACTCATGCAACACTATAGGACATGCACAGTTTATTTTTGCTTACCTGTAATATTACATTTTTGATTAATTATTTATCTTGGCTTACATTAAAAATTTATTCAAAATAAATCAAAATTATCAAGTGTTACTGTTTGCACTGTGAGCTGGTCATTATAACTTACAAATAATCAGTGATGAGTGACCAATAATTAATAATAATAATCACTATGCATACATACATCACATTGATAAATGCATGTGCAGTTTGGCCATGCAATACTACAGAGCAGATGTGCTTTGGTGCATATGACTGCATGTCATGCTTGAGGATTACTATTGAAGTTATTAATGCTTATAATGCTTATCAAGGAGCATATCTAAGAATTTGGAAAGGAGAGTGCTACACCCACTTTTTTACAGTGGTAAAAAAGCATTTTCCTTCATAACTCAAAAATTGAAGTCAGAATCACCTCAAACTTTTTACACAGCATAAGGACATCAATATATATCAGAAATTGTATTAAAAATTTGGTTTGATTTTTAAAGCTATTTTTTGGAAAAAAGCATGGGCTACAAGAAAATAAAAAAATAAAAAAAAAACCAAGATGAAGTAGGATTCTAGAGCAAATTCATAAAAAAAGTAATGAAAACAAGGGCAAGTAGGATTCCAAACAACCAATGAAAATACGAAATGAAAGTCCTGCTTTCGTGATGCAAATTCTACTCTACATTGTACTTTTAATGTTACTATTAAGAATTACGGATCACCTTGCAATGTAGCGTAGAATTTGCGTTATGAAAGCAGGATTTTCATTTCATATTTTCATTAGTCGTTTGGAATCCTAATTGCCCTTGTTTCTATTACTTTTTTTAATGAATTTGTTCTATACTCAATCTTGTTTTTTTTTTTAAATTTATGTTCTTGTTTGTGTTGATTTTTTATAATATTCATAATATTTCTTCAGTTGTAATTGTGATACTTGTTGATTTTAGACAAACAAAAATTTTCTTTATTATTATTATCATTGTTATGACTTAACAGCATTTATGAGAGACAGCATATGCTGAAGGAAATCTAGGAATATCTACTATACTGATGACAAGTGAAGTTAATACTATAGTCTTGACACAAGTCCTTGTTCAAGAAGCAGTGAGAGTACCCGTCTTCCCTGCAACCCTGTAGCTATTCCTATTCTTCCTGTTGTCAACTGAGTTCATAATAATTATTATTGCATAATAGTAACATTAATTAATTGTTTGTGTTTTTTTAAATAAAATAATTGATCACACACTTGATAAAACAATCATAAGGACATCAATATGCACCAGAAAATGTAATTAAAATTGGGGGTGACTTTGGAGCTATTTTTTGAAAAAACCCATGGGCAAAATGGCGACTAGGAGAAAGTGCTGTGGCTGCCACAAGAACGGGGCTTGTCGCTGGTGTGTCTGTGTAAAGAA